GGCCACAAAATAAATCCCAACAACTGTAAAAGAATTGAAATCACACTAAATTGACTACCTCATTTTTTTAACAGCTGTGGAAGCTGAGGAATAAAGAGGTTGAATAACTTGTCCTTCTTAATGGAGTTTGTGCTGCATACCAAGGCTTCAAATCCAAGGAGTTGGACTCCAGAACCAAAGCTCTTAACCATTACATGCTACCACCTGTACCGGGCAGATTGACACAGATGGATGTGAGTTGAGAGAAAAAGTATACGCACGCACGAGGAAAGAAGCACTTGAACGTGTGTACTAAACCCTTAATGAACTGGTAACTGGCAAAGCACCAAGAAGGCAGGGAACAGGTGTGGACATTTAGATGTGTCAGTAAAATGTCTGGATTTTTTTAAAGGTGCTGAAAATTCCTGCCTTTTGTTTACTAAATACCAGCAAAACTTGTCTGATTTCAAGTACCTTAAATACTTCTCAATTTAGGCACTTATATACATGAATAGAAAATAGTCTTAAGCAAATATTTTTAAGGCTTCCCAGGTGGCGCTAGTGGTAAAGAACCTACCTGCCAACTCAGGAGACATGAGAGACATGGATTTGATCCCTGGGTTGGGAAGATTCCCTGGAGAAGGAAATGGCTACCCTCTTCAGTATTTTTGCCTGGAGAATATTTTTAGTGACATCAAAGCTGAGTTTAAGGCTCATGTGAGGTGCTAACAAAGTTGTCCATATCTAAGTAGCAACCCACTCGCTTTGTTTGCTGAAACAAGGTACTGCCAGGAAATGCCATCTTCCCCCTTCAGTCTCCCATCCTAGACCTGGGGCAGTGTGAAGTTAGGGACTTTGATGGAAGCTAAAATGAAAAAAAAAAAAAAAGACAAGATTGGTTCCATTATATTACTACTCACTTGCAAATTTCATAAACAACACCTGAAAATAAGCAGAGTCAAATCTTGGCTAAGCAGTTTTCATCATAGCAGCCTGTGTTTAATTAGGTTTTATGTTTTTAAAGTAATTTAGATTTACCTAATTCCCTTAAGATGTACTGCGCCCAGGTCCCAGAAAGATTAACAAGCAGAAATTAATTTTAGAGACTCTTCATAGGAAAAATAGAGTACCCTCAGCTTGAACTACAATTACTGTACCTAAAGGCCTCCAGTTTCGCTTCCTCCAATCCATTTCCCACACATCAGAGGAATATTTTTCTAAAACAAAAGGCAGATCATGTTTCTTCCTTGGTCAAGCACCTTCAGTGGCTTCGCTTCAGGTAAAGTCTAAACATTTAACGCAGACTACAAGGAATTGCATGATTTTGCTATTGAAGGAGTTGCTGTTTAGTTGCAAAGTCATGTCTGGCTCTTTTACGACCCCGTGAATGTAGCCCGACAGGCTCCTCTGTCCATGGGATTTCCCAGGCAAGAATACTAGAGTGGCTTGCCATTTCCTTGGCATTTCCAGGGGATCTTTCCAACCCAGGGATCAAACCTGCCTCTCCTGCATTGCAGGTGGCTTGTTTACCACCAGGGAAGCCCATTGAAGGAGTAGAGCATTGTGATTATGGAACACTAGGCTGTCTCCATTTGAATCCTAGTTCTGCCATTTACTATCTGCATGATCTTTCCTGTCTATGCTTCAGTTTTTCTTCTCTGTAAAATGGGAATAATAATATACTCTATCTCATAGAGTTGTGAAGAGTTAGTATTATATATACATATAGAGAGATATATACAGAGAGAGAGCATGCGCACAACACAGTCTCTCTCATGTAAAAAGTTTTATATAAATATTAGCTACTATCTCTTATCTCCCCTATTCTCTTCCCTTCCCCCCAACTCTGTGTTTCAGCCATTCTGCATCTGATAGGCCCGAGAATGTCTCAAGAATCATTCTCCAGACTTTCCCACATCCTGTTTCTCTATTTGAAATACTTGCAGCCAAATCTCCCTTCTATCTTCTTTCTACCCGCATCCTTCTATCTTTGCCTAACCACCACTTGCTTTGGGAAAACCTTCCAGTCCAGACCAGTTGTTTCTACCATGGGCTCCCACAGCTCCAGGCAGGACTGCCAGAGGTTAGAAGGTTCAGTTAAAACTGGATGTCAGTTAAACAACAAATACTCTTCTAGCATAAGTAAACCCCATGCAATATTTGGATTTTGGATAAAGGACGGACAATTTTTCAGTATAAATATGTACAAGGCAACATTTGAGACACACTACACATTTATTCATCTGACATTCGACTTTAACTGGGAGTCCTGTATTTCATCTGTCAACCTCACACACAGGCGATCCTCTAACGTCACCCTTACTACACTTTAGTAATTTTTAAAATATGACAAGTGGTTTTGTTCCCCCCCCCCCCCCCCCCCCCCCCCCCCCCCCCCCCNCACCCCCCCGCCCGCTAGAGTGTGAAATCTGTGAGGGCAGGGCCTGGGCAACCTTGCTCATTGTTTTGGACCTGGCATGGCAGGTATTCCACAAACACATGATTGGTAGGCAGGCATGGCCTGAGGAATACAGCCATCAATCAGGCCAAAGCTCAGGCACCCCCTATTAGGAGTTAACTCTAACAACAGGCAAACTCTCTAGGAGGACAAAGCATTTCAACAGGTACCATTAATCTCATGTCCTCAGGTGGATAAAATGGTGGTACTGCTTTTCAGAGTATTGCCAGTGTGATAGTACTGACTCCCCAAGGACAGTTTTAAGGTGACCCGACTATTTTATATTCAAAAAAGGACTGCGTTTTCACACCTTTTTCACTTGACTCTTTTTTGTCAGTTTTTTTTTGTTTGTTTGTTTTGATGTGGACCCCTTTTAAAGTCTGTATTGAATTTGTTACAATATTGTCTCTGTTTCGGTTTTCTGGCTGCAAGGCCTGTGGGATCTTAGTTCCTTGATCAGGGATTGAACCCACACCTGCATTAGAAGGTGAAGTCTTAACCACTGGACCACCAGGAAAGTCTCAAATGTTTTTGTTTTTCTTCCTTTTCTTTTTCTTTTTTTTGTGACATCACATGACTTGCATGATCTTAGTTCCCTGACCAGGGATTGAACCCAGGGCCCCAGCAAAAAAAAATAGCAGAGTCCTAACCACTGGACCACCAGGGAATTCTTCACTTGACTTTTAAGGCAAGTATTAATACCCACAACTAACAGATGGGGAAACAGAGGCTCTGAGAAGGTAAGCAACTTGTCCAAGATGACCAATAAAAGGGAGCAACCATTCTGACCCTATGACGGAGTACTCTTCCCCCATACCACATGGCCATCTGGGCCAATGTAAAGAATCAGAATCTTTATGTTCTTCCTCTTCTCCTAGACACTCTCTCAAAGAAGAAGTCTGATACCTGACTCCTCTCCAAAGATTTAATTGCTCCTCCTAAAATAGATTCCCTAACAACAGCCTGAGAGGAGACAGGGAGGCCTGGCATCTGTATTTTGAAATACAAGTAAGTCTTAACTAATCTCTCATGTTATAAATGACACTACTTAGGTCTGAAGACTAAAGACCTTGCTAGGAAATAGGGGTAACACTGACCGGAACCTGAAACCTGTCCCTTTTCTTTTACCTGAAGCTCTAGAAGACATCACCCCACGCATTTCTGGGAACAAGGATTTATACCTTGATTACATATATCTGTCAGTTTTCTTCTGGAATGAAAATGGCTGAATCTGCTCTCAATACAGCACCTAGTAACTCCTCTCTTGGAGCACTCTGCAAAATTCATCAGCCAGAGGGTATGCAGGCTTTCTAACACTGGGAGATGCCTGTAAGGCTGACTAGATGCTATTTGTGTCTCTTGTCCCGAAGGATCTGACCCCGTTAGGAAGATTCACTCAGGCCAGAGAAGCACTGTCGTCTCTACCAGGACAGGAAGCTGCCGTCTAATCCAGTCTTTCTCTCCAGGACGCTCCTAGCCTCCCCAACCTCAATTCTACTTCTCTAAGCTTCTGAAGGAAGCTTCCTCAAAGAAAACTTCATTTTGAAGGAGAAGAAACGGGAATCACGTTATAACCAAGAAAGATTGGGCCTCCAGGGGCAGAGGGTCAGAAGTTAATGATCTAAAACGTAACAGGCTGTGGGCAATTCAATAAAGCTAGAAATGCAACCCCCAGAGAATACGCAGTTTTTAAACTGCTGCAGCTTACTTGGTTTGGGGGAGAAATACGCAGAAAGTATTCCAAGGCCGTGGACGCGCTGCTGGAGGTTCCTCGGGCAGTCTTCTGTTAGGAGCACGAATACCTGCTGGCTGACTGGCTGAACTGGCCCCTGGAGACACAGCAGCGCCCAGGAACCTTCGGAGGCTCTGCTCCCCGGCCCGGCGAAAGGAGGGATACTGACTACTCAGGCCTGCCTAAAACGAAAATCACAAAAGCAACTGAATTACCATTATTGCTTGTATGGGTCACTGAAGAAAACTGTGCTGACCGAATTCTAGCTGGAGGCTTCATCTGGAACTGGAAGTGTGACCTTTACAAAATTACCGACCTGGATTAGAGACGGCATAGAAGGTGCTCGCACGTGTCGAGACCATCTGGTCAAGTTGAGGAGATGCCCTCGGGGAAATCTTTTTCCCGGGCGCACAGCAGAGCCCCTCAGCTGGATTCTGCGTTCACCTGGCCTCACCGCCGCTCAGCCTCTACCCCTACCCCACGCGGCGCGGGCAAATCCCGCCGGCAGCCGGGTGCAGTTGCTCAGGTAACAAGGGATGCGCTGGGGGCCGGCGGCGCGAGGCGAGAGCGCTCGGCGGGCCGTAGCTCCCCCTCCCCGGTGCAGACGCAGGAGGCTGAGTGTGCCAGCTGCGCGCTCGCGAGCGGGTCTTTAGCCGGGAAAGCGCGGTTTTTGTGGGGCTCTGGGCTCAACCAGTGAGAGGCCGGGGGTGTGGCCGAGGGAACGCGCAGACCGAGTACTTAGGGGCTAGGCGAGTCCGGCCTGGTTTCCTCCGCACTCCCGGGCACGCGGGTCCGCTTTCTCCGCAGCCGGGGAGTCCGTCCGACTTCATCATGGTGACCCCCGGCCCCACCAGCCCCATGAGCCCCGCCGCCTGGGCTGGGAGGCGGGACGCCCGGAACCTCCGCGCCCCGGTGAAGAAGAGCCGGCGCCCACGCCTACGGAGGAAGCAGCCGCTGCAGCCTCTTAACACAAGCCCGCTCCCCGGAGACTCTGGCGTTTGCGACCTGTTCGAGTCCCCAAGCTCCGGCTCGGATGGCGCAGATAGCCCCGCGGCGCGAGGCTGCAGCCCCGCGCCGGGTGCCTCCCAGCCGCTGGCGCAGCTCGATCTGCAGACCTTCCGTGACTACGGTCAGAGCTGCTACGCCTTCTGCAAGGCGCGGGAAGACCGCTTCCACCCGCGGGAGTCGCTGGCGCGGCAGCCACAAGTGAGGCGTCGGCGGAGCCAGCTCTCCGCCACCGCTCCTCCTCCTCTCCCGGGCTCTTTCACCTCCTGCTCTGTCCGCCCTCCGCGGCGCCCCGGCCCTCGTCAGCCCAGCTTCTCTCCCTCCCCTCGCCCGGTTCCGAGCGAGAAAGCTTTGAAGGGCCGGGCCACCGGCCTCATTTTATAGATGTAAGAAAGGGGGCCTGGAAGGCCTCAGTGACCGGCCCGAGGTCTCCAAACTGGGTAGCAGGGACCCGGTAGAATGCAGAGGAGTTACGACAGTTTCTAGGTTCGAGTCCGGACTCCTAACCGCCCCGGCAAGTTGCTTAACAATCTGAGGCTTGCTTCTTCATTTGCCAAGTGTGGGGACCGTTTGAGTTGCTGAGAGGATTACACGAGGTAACGTGTATCCGCACTGGGCACAGAGCCCGGCATGAATCCAGGCGTCCCGGCGCCCAGCCCGGCTTGTGCTCTTAACTCGGCGGCGCTGCGCACCTGTTTCCCAGTTTCCAGCACCTTGGGGCTTTTCCTTTGTTCCCCGCCTCCCTCCGGGGACGCTCCCGGTCTTGGTGCCCTGTCCCTTCCACCGTCCCTCAGCCCCAGGCTCAGCGGGCCCGCCTCCCTCCTCCCTCCGGCAGGTGACGGCGGAGTCCCGCTGTAAGCTGCTCAGCTGGCTAATCCCCGTGCACCGCCAGTTCGGCCTTTCCTTCGAGTCGCTGTGCCTGACGGTGAACACTCTGGACCGCTTCCTTATCACCACGCCTGTGGCTGCAGACTGCTTCCAGCTGCTCGGGGTCACGTCTCTGCTCATCGCTTGCAAACAGGTACCTGCTCACGGGGTCTGGGGGCAGCCGGGCTCCTGGCCGCTCTGGCTCTCCAGCGCACACAACTGAACGCTAGGCTCCCTGAATTCATTTTGGCAGACGTTTGCACACTTACCTACCCCACAGCCTTAACTTCACAACTACCCCCGCCCCGCCCCGGCCAAACGAACAATCCTTTCACTCAGTCCCCAAAGAAAAAAGCCGAGTCTCCACAGCGCTCTGTAGCCCCTCTATTCTAGTCTCGGGGGCGGGGGGGAGGAATCTTCCAAATCTCTCAAACCTGTTTTCTGCGCAGAAAGTATACCCCAGACAATTACAGTGGAAGTATGGAGAGAGGAAGCCCCCACATATCTCGCTGGAAGGGATGGGGGGAGTCTTGGTTCGCCTGGGTGAGCCTCCGGCCCCGGATTCTGCACAACGAGAGCTGAGTGTCTTTGTGTTACAGGTGGAGGTGCACCCGCCTCGCGTGAAGCAGCTCCTGGCCCTGTGCTGCGGTGCCTTCTCCAGGCAGCAGCTCTGCAATCTCGAATGCATCGTGCTGCACAAACTGCATTTCAGCCTGGGCGCTCCCACCATCAGCTTCTTCCTGGAGCATTTCACGCACGCCCGCGTGGAGGCCGGGCAGGCCGAGGTCTCCGAAGCCCTGGAAGCGCAAGCCCTGGCGCGCGGGGTGGCGGAGCTGAGCCTGGCCGACTACGCTTTCACCAGCTACACCCCTTCCCTGCTGGCCATCTGTTGCCTGGCGCTGGCCGACCGTATGCTGCAGCTCCCTCGCCCCATGGACTTGCGCCTGGGCGGGCACCCTGAGGAGGCGCTGCAGGACTGCCTGGGCAAGCTGCAGCTTCTGGTGGCCATAAACGGAACCTCCCTGACTCATATGTTGCCCCTCCAGATCCGAGAGAAGTGCTGCCTGTCCCCGAGCTTGAAATAAAGTAGACCCTTGGTCTCCTTTGATCCCCTCTTGGCTGTTGGACCTCTCCCGTTGCGTTGAAAGAGTACAGTACTGACCCAAAGAGAGGCTTTCAGGTCTCCAGGTCATCCTGCAGGTTGTAAATAGTGTAAGGTAGTAGCATCTCATTGTTTTGCTAAGAGCACAGGAGAGAAAAGCAAATCTCTTCTCAGTAAACAGGCTGTCTTGGTGGTTTATCTGAATGCTACAAATGCAAGCATTTGTCCGAAAGAGTAACTAAGAAGAGCGCCTCCATCAGAGCATCTCTGTAAACACCAGGTCCCTCCAGGTTTCTGTAGCCAGTTACAAGGCGAGTCAGGGTCACTTATTGGCCTGAAACCAGGGACCCTCTTGTTAGAAGGTTGAAGACTGCTTACTCCTAGAGAGTCAAAGGGTGTGGTGGGGTGTGAGACCGAAAAGAATGCACTGCAGCCTATGTTGGGGGGCGGGGGGAGCAGGGCGCGAAGCACACTGCTGGTGTAAGCTGAGAAACTTTGGGACCAGACAGTCCCACTAGCTAGGGCAAGTAAGAGCTACCCTGATAAATGCCAGATAAGGAAAAATGAAGGCTTTGCTGGCAGTGGTAGCCACTACAAATTGAGTCCGATTATAGAGTTCCTGCTTGTCTTATACCTGCTACATGTGAACCCACAGTTACAATAGTAATAGTGCTTACATGTACAGGGCACAGTGTTCAGCATTTGTTATTTCAATGCCTCTAACAATAGGTGGAGTCTATGATCCCATTTTTCAGAGAAAGACACTGGGCCACAGAGAGGCTGAACAACCGTGGAGCAGCCAGGATTTGAAAGCAGGTGGTCTGAATCCGGAGTTCCACCCTTTGCCACAACGCTCAATTTCCCTCACGTGCAGGTTTCTGAAAATGCTCAAAAAAGTCTCTTCCCAAGGCAGATATGGGACAAGTGATCTGCACTGTCCATTCAATAGGGACTATGGAGAATGTATTCGGAGAGCCAGTACAGTCCCTGCCTCTGGTCATGTTGCAGGAGTTACTTTACAGATGGGAAAAGCGAGTCAAGAAATGGGACAGACGCTTGCTGGAGTTCTGACTCCACAGCTGTCCCACCATCTTCATCCTCACTGTTGGGAATCTGCTAAAGGCCCTGAATCTGTAGCCTTCTGCAAATTTCTTAACCTGAACCCAAAAGCCAACTGTCATCAGGGCTGTTATGAAGCTTAAACTAGATTGTTATGAGGTAGTATAAAGTAGTGGTTAAACACCCGGCCTCTGAGATCAATTTGCTGGGTGACTTTAAGCAAATCACATATCTGTGCTTAAGTCTCTCCTGTAAAAAGGAGAATAACAGTAACACTTACCTAGAAGTGTTGAGGTATAGATTTAATGAGATGTTCTCTACACACCCCTCAGCACAGGTCTTGCCTGGTACATAGCAAATCTTCAAGAAGGCTGGTGCAGCCTACACAATGATGGGAAGGGAGGTTACACAGAAAGAAAAATAGAGATAAAGCAAATATAGGAAAATGTTAATGTTACCATTGTTCACTGTATTGTTTTTCAAATTTTCTGTATGGTAGAAAAAAAATCAAGTTGGGAATAAACTGTCATTCTTCTGCATTTACAATAAATCTGAATGTATGACAAATGGTACAAATAAAAAGCAAACTCAAAACATTTAGAGAAACTTCCTTGCTCTTCTTGGGTACCCTTGTACACTCTAGAGCAAGGGACCTCCTTCTCTCCAGATAGGTTGATATGCTATGCTTTCCAGGAACTTTCTGCTCAGCTCAGGAAAAGGGTATTCACAAGAGGGATTCCCTTGGTAATCCTCAAGCTGTTTGAGGAAAAGCTGGTCTGTAATAGTGGAAAGGAGGAGGAGAAAAATCATACCATCTCGTCCAAGTTCCAAAATATCTGGAGCCCTCAGCCCAAGTGTTAGGGGGTGGAGAACACTGCATTCAGCAAAAGAATGACTTGAAGAGCAGTTGTCTTCACCAGCATTCACTCCATCACTCAGCTGAGACTGATATGGGTGATTTGGTGCCAGAAATCATCCAGACCAGGAGTCATATAATTATGCATTCCAGCTCCCATTGCCACAGAAAATCTATTATACATTTTAAAATACAATACCCTTATTTTTCTACTCCAACTCAGAACTCGTTGATAGAAAATGGGCCTGTTTTGGATCTTCAGATATGTAGAGATCTCTCCAAAACTCAGCTAAGAGCTTCCCCACTCCTTTTACAAACTGGGACGTCATTAAGGATAGGGACTGGGGATGGACTAGCTAGTGGCTAGGCCATTCGGGAACCAGAGGAAGCATGAGACAGAGTGGGCAACAGGCTGTGGCAGACTGGACTTGCAGCTGAAAAGACTTCTCAAAACAACATTAATTTATCCACACCAAGCGCCAGTCACATTACATACAGTCTCATCTTCACAGCAGCTCCCTTGAAGTTAGTGTCATGGTTTAATGGTTTTCCAAAGGAACTAGGGTTCACGGATCTGGTGGAGCCTGGGTTCCGACCCTAAAGCCAGAGCTTTTTCCTCGCCATCAGCAATACCACACCAACTCTGTCTGGCTGACCTCACTAGGTTCCTGCATCTATAGGTGGGTCAGAGAGTCTCTAAGTCTCTTCTAATTACATCATTAGGTTGCTTTCCATCTCTGTTAGGGCTATCTTGTCTATGAATCCAGATAACCGGTGCAAATAAAAGAGGATCATGTCCTTTAAAAGAGGACCTTGCACTACTCCTGTGAGGTATGATATCAACAAGGTGCCCAATAGAGGGTCACAAAGATTTCAGCTTCAGATGATTGTTCAAGTTGGATGGATGTAAGAGTGGTCCTGAGAGAGACCTCTCACCCAAGAAGCTGAAGATGCCCCTTCCTGGGAGAGGCTTCCAGCTTGGGAAAGAGGAGCCAAGACTCCGGCAGAGCGGTGGAAGCAGGTTGTACAGAAAGTGGCCAAATGCTTGGAGAGGTGGCTGGGGCTTCCGTGGGAGAAACCCGGGTTTTAGGGGATTTGGGGCTGTTCGCTGTAGAGATATGCGACCCTCGGTTGTAAAGTCTATGTTCAGGTGTTGCTGCCCTAGCAAGTGCGGGATACGGCTATGGAGAAGGGCTCTAGGATTCAGACAGAGTGAAGTCAGCACCAGGAGAGCTCTCCAGCCCTTCTGTAATCTGGGGCTGTTCTGGGGAGTCCCCGCTGGAATTCTTCATCCCCACCAAATCCTATATACATGGCGGGGCAAATGCTGGGCTCTGGCTTTGGCGATGGAGGCGCTAAGTCTGTTTCGTGACTTGTGGCTGGGGTAGGAAGAAAATGAAATCAGAATCGTTAACTTTCCCATTCCCGCCGCCCATAGGCGGGAAGGCCGTACCCTGCGTTAGGGACCAGTAGGGGATGTCCTTCCCTCCTCTTTTTTTCTGGCGCGGCCAGGAGGCTGCGGCGCCAACGCCAGCCTAAAGGGCGCTCGCGGGCCCGGGCCCCGCGCTCCGGGTTCCCGGGGGAAGCCGCGTTGCCAGGTTGGGTTTAACGCCTCCGCCAAAGTGCAGATTGTCCGGGGCTGAAGGCGCCACCTCTGGCGCTCCGGCGCGAGCCGCCCCTCCCGCGCCGCGTCCCCTCCGCTCTCCACCGGGCCCTCCCTCCTCACCTCCACTGGAGTTCCTTAGCCCCACCCAGACCACGCGCCTCCCCGCCTTCTGGCCGGCCTCAGAGCCTGTGGAGCGCTGGGTGTAGGGTCGCCATCCAGGCCCGGGCCGCCGCCTCCGAGAAGTCGGCGCGGGGCTCCGGGCCTGAAGCGGACCGGGAGGCAGGATGCAGGAGTGCGGGGGAACCGCGGCGGGTCGCCGGGCCTTCGACAGCATTTGCCCCAACAGGATGCTGGATCCGCGAGGCCGGCCCATCAGCAAGCCCGGGAAGCCGGAGAGGAAGGTGGGGCCGCGGGCCGGGGCCGGGCGGGGTCCGCACGCTCCCGGCCCCGAGGGCTGACCCGCGCTCCCTTTCTGTGCCGGCTAGTTCGCTCCTCCGCGGAAGTTCTTTCCCGGTAGCAGCGGCTGCAGCCGGGTGTCGGTGTACCAGGATCCCCCAGACCCCGAGACCCCTGCACTGCCAGGTGAGCACGGGGGTCCCCGCTCGACCCCTCGGGTTCCCCAAGCCTGGTGGGTGGGGCGCGCGGGGCTCAAAAGAACCTCCCCCCCTGGGGTTTCGGAATCCTGGCGGCGGTGCCCGCGGCGAGCCCTTGCGGGTAAGCTCAGGGTCCGCCCGGCGCGTGTCTCGGGTTCTCGCCGCGCAGCGCTCACCACCATAGACCTGCAGGACCTCGCCGACTGCTCCTCGTTTCTTGGGTCCGACCCGCCGCCTGGTGGTGACTCAGCCGCCTCACAGGTACTTCCCCTGGTGGAATCCCCTTGCCTCGCAGCCCAAAGTTCTATTTCCCGAGTTTCGTTAAAGAACCGTTTGGGGAGGGGAGCACAGGAACACCTGGCTAGCAGGGAGAGATGTCCTGCCGGAATCCGAGCCGCGAGAATAGGAACTCCCTCCTCCCTCCCAGTATGTTAGCGGGGGCTCCATTCTCAGAGCTGGTTTGACCAACTCTGCACAGGGAGGGCTCCCCTGCCAGACGGGTCTCCCGTCCTCCTCCCCATCTATTTCTTGGAGCTGCGATAGAGCAACTCGGAGGTTGCGCACCGAGGGATCAGGTGGGTAGGTAGGAGCACAGTTGCGCTCTGGGCACCAGATCAGCGCGTCCTCTCTGTCCTTCCAACATGCCTTTCCCGGTCATTCATTAACTATTTTCATTCCCTGGATGTCTAAGGAGTGTGGAGATTAAGGAATAACTTCTCCATCAAGACTGGGAAAAAACGAAGAGGATTTACATTTGGAGGAAGTGGGAAGAGTGACAAAGGATTTGAAGAAATCTAACTGAAAACGTTGTTCTCTACAGAGATGGCCCTTCAGCAGTTGGGCACTTTATAAAAGTCCTTTTCACCCTCTGCAAAGGCTACTGTCACTACCATGGGGGAAAGAGGCATTTCCCCCAGGAAAACCTGTCCTCTCACTTCCATCTCACTCCTACCACTCACCAGGGCTGAGACCAGAAGCCTAGCTTGCTGATGGGATATGAAGTGCCCAGAAGGACAGGGGTTCCTAGCTAGATGGTACCTGCAAGAAGAGTGCCAGTTCCAGGTTCCTGGTGGCAGGTGCTGGGGACATGAGAGTATAGAACTCTCCAGAGGATGTGACCACCTCCTAGAACTGTGATTGGGATGGTGGAACAAAGTGTCCCAGGGTCTAAGTGCCTCTTAGAATTGGGCCAGAGCCCAGGGAGACTTGGGGTAGGTGGCCACTGAGAGCAGAGACTAGGAAGGCAGGAAGAGTGGGTGTTGCCCTGCAGAGGCTATTTATTCTTTTGTTCTCTTAGAGTCTGGATGCTCAGATTTTAAAAAAAGACAATACAGGAGCATCATTCAACTGAACCAGAGAGTTACATCACTCCCTTACTCCAACATGTTTATTTTGCAACAGAAAAAGTAGGCTCTTGCTGAATTTTGGCTTATATATACAGAACTTAAATTTGACATCATGTTCTGTTTTAGTTTTCTTTTTGCTCCCCCGGCTCTTTGTGTTGTAGAAGTGCCAGGTTTTTATCTAATTGGGAAGATAGTAACAGAGTAACCACTGAAATATCACTGAACTACCTAGGATTGTGGCACTAGTGGCAAAGAACCCACCTGCCAATGCAGGAGATATAAGAGACTCAGGTTCAACCTCTGGGTCAGGAAGATCCCCTGGAGGAGGAAATGGCAACCCACTCCAGTATTCTTGCCTGGAGAATTCCATGGACAGAGGAGTCTGGCAAGCTACAGTCCACAGTGTCACACAGAGTCAGGCACGACTGAAGCGATTTGGCCCTGCATGCACCAAGGATTAAGCCCACAGACCAGAGCCCACAAACCGAACCGAAGTTAGCCCATGTCTCCTTCGAGTTTCAGAGGGTTTTAAGGGCAGAGCTCTTGCCAGATGGCCCAAGAGATCCAGAAGTTGCCCTGGGGAAGGCAGAGCTGGTGCAGAAGGAGATACATCTCCAGGGGAAGACTCTCCAGGGGAACCCTCTGGCCAGTGCACACTCTGGTTATATTTCTCCTTCCTGTTGGGGAAAGTGGACACAGAGAGGAAGTGCTCTAGAAGTGTTTGGGGTCCAGAATGGGCCAAGACCTGGGATAGCACAGGAGGAAGCATTTCCTGGGCACCAGTCCCTGAGCTGGCCTCCAGTCTTCTTGTGATAAGGGCTTTTCTCTACTAAGAGGGAGACCTTTTAGCCCTTGGAAAATGCCTCATTTCTGACTCTTTCAACCAGGGAAGAATCTGTGCTTCAGGATCTGTCTGGGGCCCTCAGTTCTTCCTTTCTAAGCTCCCTTCCCTTTACAACCTCAGATCTCAATAGGTGCTGGACTTCTCCTCCCTGAAGGAAACTGATAACTTGTATATTCTTTGAAGTGCGAGTCAGATTAAGCTCTGACTTATTCTGGCCTGGAGAATTCCATGGACTGTGTAGTCCATGGGGTTGCAAAGAGCTGGACACAACTGAGTGACTTCCACTTTCACACTTCCACTTCAGATTAAGCTTCTCTTCTCAGAAGTATCTGAATGGTTAAGATGGGCATTTGGGAGATGAGTAAGATTAACCTAGAGGAATTAAAAAAAAATGATGATAGAACAAAAACCATTAGAACAGATATTTCTGGTGGGCGTATTGGATGCACCCCTCACATCATGTCCCTGGGGGGACTTCTTTCCCCTTCCCCAAGCTCTTCATTGGAAGCCAGGCTTTCCTAAAAGAGAAATAAAAGCTAGAGGCAACGAGGGGTAGAGGAAAGAGGATTGAAATAGGCACCAGCAGAAGCTCCAGTTTCACTATTTCAAAGTTGGGTGCTTGGGCAACTTGATTTCTCTGAGTTCAGCTTCTCCATCAGGGGAGGAATCACTTCTCGATCTCTGCCAGCTTACCGAACTGCTGTGAGAATTAACAGAGAAAATCAACGTAAAAGAGTTTTGTCAGCTCTGTCCGTGAATTAGGGGAATAAGAAATTTCCTGGCAGCCAACATTTTACCGTCCCCTTCCATCTCACTCACCCAGGCACATTGCAGGAACCCAGGAGAGCGTCCAGTCCACAATGTTAGACGTGCATCACGCTGGACGGGAAAAGTCAACTCCAACTTTTTGAGAAGCAAAAGAGCAATAGGGACCACGCCGGCTGCGTGCTGAACAGAAGCACTTTCAACATAGCATCCTTGGCCCATCATATCTTAGCCGACCTTTTCCCTTTCTTGGTGGAGACGGGTGGTTTAGTTGTGATTGAGCCTTCTTGGGTTATGTGGCCTGGAGTTACTGTTTTGGATGCCCCTGCACGCTGGCAGAGCTTGGGAGCACGGACGGAGTGTTTGCACACCGTGCTCCCAGTTCTTAGAGCTGTGGCCCCTTGGCCTGTGAGAGGTATGTCGGGGTTTGAGGTCTGCGGCCTCACTAGGAACGCGCAGGGTTGGCTGGAGGCGGGCCAATGAGCGGTGCGGGACTGTGCCTGCTGCCGGAGGCCAGGTGCGGGGCGGCGGAGGTGAGCTGAACGCAGTTTCAAAGCCCTGCAGGACCCAGGGTCCCCACTTCGTCCGTCCCTCTCCTCACCCTGGCGGTGCATGCGTCCTGGATTCCGCGCCTCGGGCGGGGCTTTGATTTTCAGCTACAAGTTTCCACTGTGAACGCGTTTGCGCGTAGACCTGCCACCGAGTCCCAGAGCTTAGCTAAAGTCTAGGAAGTGTTCCAGACCCGCCAGGCTTACCATTAACTAGTTTTCACATCTGGTTTATTTCAGAGCCATTCCCTGCAAACGGCAGCGGACTTCGATCTGCAGGATTTCAGAGACACCGTGGAGAATCTCATTGCAGGCAAGTGCAGTTTCTGCAGTAAAATTAAAGTGGGGGTGTCCTCCACCCCTCAAATCCGACAAGTTCGAATTTCGTGATCCGGAAGGTGGTAAACTGTGTACCTATTACCAACTTGCCAGCAACTCATCAAAGTGTCAGGCTCTTCCATATTTAGGGGACCCCTCCCTTTTCCTTATGGAGAAGATGAATCGCTGGATCGCTCTAGATAGCATTTTCTCCGTTTGCCCGTGCAACTTCTGGAAGAGAGCCCAGCCTTAAGCTGTGACGTGGCCAGGAAGAGCCTGGGTGCCAGGAGTGTGCGGAGTAGTGGATTTGTGTGACTTCAGACAACCTTGCCCTGGCCACTGTGGAGGTTCAGTGTAGATTGTCTCAACAGGCATTTATTGAGCGCCTGCTGAGAGTGTACAGGGTATCAGGAAGGACCTGGGGATCTTCAGGATTGCAGAGTGAGGGTTGATTTATCAGTAAAGAAAAATCTCTATATAAACCCTACAACTGTCATGACATTTTGTCCTTGTAGTTAGCCAGGCGCAAGTCTGAGGCTGCAAACCTAGCTCCCTCTCTTCTTCTTCATCAGACTCATCCTCTTTGATGTCACCTTCCCTGGCGGCCGGAGACTTCCCGTTCTCTCCTAGCGATGTCCTGCCCTTTGGTCCCTGTCTCTCCCCGCCGCTGAGCCCGCCCCAAGTGCCCCCGCCAGAGCAATACTGGAAGGAGGTGGCTGACCAGAACCAGAGGGCGTTGGGGGACGCACTCATCGAGAATAATCAAGTAGGGACACGGGACTGGCGTTCAGGAATCCTGGGGCAGGGGCAGAGCACAGTGCTGGGGACAAAGCGGAGGCTGCAGGAGCAGAGATGTGCCCCTTTGGCACGTTAGAACCAGTGGATCAGTCCAAGTAGCTGCTATTCCTCCGCTGGCTCAGTTTACAACGTCCCTAAGTGGGAATAATCCTACCCACCAGATTTTTAATAGGGCCACCCAATATTTATTGAAGGCTATATGCCTAGTATTGCGCTTACCCATTTACTTTTCCTCAACTAATACCCACAGCCATTGAGCTAGATACTCTTACCAGCCTTACTTTGCAGATAAGGAAACTGAGGTACAAGAAGATTGAATTTCAGAGGCAGAACCTGTATCTGCCTGTTGCCCAAGTCAGTACTCCTCATCGGTATACTGAGGATTCACTGAGAAACATTCTAAGTGCTTTGTAATAAACACTGATTATTATTCTCACCAGTGTAAACGTTCTTGGGCCCCCAAGTTTCTGATTAGACGTGAGGATCTGGGTTCAGTTCCTGCCGAGTGTACAGAAGAGACAGCACGGGATCCTACATCTCAATGTTTGGGTCCCCTCCTGCAGCTGCACGCGACGCTGACCCAGAAACAGGAGGAAATCGCCTCCCTGAAGGAGCATAATGTGCAACTGAAGGAACTCGCCAGTAGGACCCGGCACCTGGCCTCGGTGCTGGATGTAAGTGGGGCGCGGGCGTGGAGAACACTGCAGAAGTCGGAGATATTCCTGTGCACCCTCCCCCCACCCTGCTCCCAGTGTTGGGACCCGGCGAGGGTCGAGGGAAGGAGAGGACCGCTGGCAGCTTGCTGAGTCACTTGCAGGGGTCGGCCGAGTCGCGCTGTTGGAAGTTAGCCCAGGCCTCCTTCGAGCGCCAGTCAGAGGCGAGTCTGGCGGCCCCAGGGCGGCGCTCCTCCTCATCTTTTGTAGAAGCTGATGATCACCCATTCCCGGGATCCCGGGGCGGCAGCCGAGCCCTTCCTGCTCAAGGCGACGGCCAAAAGGAGCCTGGAGGAGTTGTTCAGCGCTGCGGGGCAGGATTGCGCGGAAGTGGACGCCGTTCTGAGGGAGATTTCTGAGCGCTGCGATGAAGCTCTGCAGAGCCGCGATCCCAAGAGGCTCCGGCTGCAGCCCGAGCCCCCGAGCCTGGACCGCAGGCCCGGGAACCTGCACGGCGCCTTCCCGGGGCTGCGCACAGACTGCAGCCGGAGTGTGCTGAACCTGAGCCACAGCGAGCTCGAGGAGGGCGGCTCCTTTAGCACCCCCATCCGCAGCCACAGCACCATCCGCACCCTTGCTTTCCCCCAGGGCAATGCCTTCACCATCCGGACCGCCAACGGGGGTTACAAATTCCGCTGGATCCCCAGTTGAGCTGGGATGTGGTCCTCCGAAACACTGCCTCTATGCAGATTGAAGCGCCTGGAAGCTAAAAACTGGTTTCTCAGAACTCCCCCTGCAGGGCCGATGCCACTCTGAAACTTTTTTTTCAGGAACAAGAACGTAAAACGTTTTGCTACTGATGCATTGTAAAGTTCTGTAAGATACTGTATTGTCCCTCCCCTTTTCACAGCGAAACCGCGCGCTTGTGTGTGTGTGTGTGCATATATCAGTCAATTTTAAATTATTTATTTTTAGCAGCTTTGAATTCTGTACTTTTCAGAGCTGGAAGGGACCTAAAAACCACTTCAGTTCAGTCGCTCAGTCGTGTCCGACTCTTTGTGACCCCATGAATCGCAGCATTCCAGGCCTCCCTGTCCATCACACACTCCCGGAGTTTACTCAAACTCACGCCCATCGAGTCAGTGATGCCATCCAGCCATCTCATCCTCTGTCGTCCCCTTCTCCTCCTACCCCCAATCCCTCCCAGCATCAGGGTCTTTTCCAATGAGTGAACTCTTCACATGAGGTGGCCAAAGTATTGGAATTTCAGCTTCAGCGTCAGTCCTTCTAATGAACATCCAGGACTGATCTCCTTTAGGATGGACTAGTTGGATCTTAATTACATAATGCCCTACTTCCACAGGAAGCAAAAGGAGATTCTAAGAAATTAAGTAATTTTCTACCATCAGAGGCGTCATGGGAACCTTCTGAGTGTTCTCACTACTTTTTTCAAAGATTGTAGGTCCAGAAGCCAGGTCTTTGGGTGAAAGTTTCAGTACATCACTCACTTCCCTTGATCCAGGAATAACACTGAATTTTGTGACTATTGAAACTTTTCATTGTAGCTGAAGGAATAAAAAATTAGGAGAGGCTAGGATTAAGAATTTCTGATCACTTGTCGTCTCAGGGCAAGCAATAGAACAGGAAGGTGCAGATTCTGAGTCAATGGGTTTTTGATAAAAACAGGTGCTAAACACATTTGTTTGTAATGATCATTGTTATAATTTTGTAAGATTTATGATAAATATTTATATGAATAGTATAGTTTTATTTGTCTAAACAGAATAACCACAGAAAAAGCAAGCTTTCTTAGTAAGAAACATTTTAAGAAAATGGCATATCCACGTGAAAAATAATATATTTTAGCATGTTCATTTTTTTTTTGGCAGAAACCAAGTGTGGAAATCTTGGTAAAACTGTCTATTTGAATTCCATGGATAAAAATAGGGTACACATTCGTGTTTCATATTTCTTGGTTTCATCTTCTAAGAAAAATGGAGGTGTTACATGATGCCTTCACTTTGCCTTTTGTTTTCTTTTGAGTGCCATTCCTTTTCCTATTCTGTTGTGTAATTTTGTGAGTAGAGTATGTCAAGCAGTGATTTGTCCCCACCTCCACAGTTCTCATCACGAGGGCTACTCCTTGTCTTTGGGGGGCTCAGCCTGGGCAAGTTTCCAACCCTGTTACACCACATTGCTGGTTCTGCCACCGGAATGCTATTCTGAATGGAGTGATCGGGTAACAGGTGAGCTGGGCGGGGCGGCAGAACCTGCTTCTCCTGTTTACGCTGTGTGCTGTTATCTGCATTGAAATGGCCATTTGGAAAACAGACAAAAAAAGTGATAGAGCACATTTCCTCATACTTCATCTAACAAATGGACTAAAAAAAATATACTGGATGGTTCAGAATTCTTTTTATCAGCTTAAATACGAAGTGACTGCAGTTCAGCATCAGAGGAAACAGAAAACAAAAACAAAACCCTTTAACTTGTTTTGAGAAATAGTCAGCTTGTTAAAAGTTCTTTTCCTCTCCACTCCTCAATTAGTATTTTCTTTTTTTTTTCTAAATTAGTATTTTCATAATGCATTAGCTTCAATGACAGAAAAGTTAAAAAAACTATATGTATTTTTCTACTTGTCTTATGCCTGGAATTTAAAAAATTATAAGGCTTATCAAGAATTCTGTGTGTGGTGGTTGGTGGTTTGGGGTCCTTCCCTGAGCTGAAAGAGCCCACAAACCGGAGCTTCCTTGACCTGGTGTCTTCCTTGCTTCTTTGGGATGTTAACCACCCCACGACTGGGTGCTTATATTGGCAATGAAGGGACCTGTGCCCACTAATATATGTCCTTATGTTCCTTCCATGGCATGAATTCTTAGTACTGCTTGTTGCTGGTTTAGTAGAAAACATCAGTGAGGACAACTTTGAACCAAATCTTAGCCATTTTCTCCATGATTTTTTGAGCTTATATTCAGCTGTGTGATCTAGCCTAGTTCATGAAGACAGGTTAGCTTGAAATTATCGCAATAATTTCTTCATTTCAAATAGGACCAGCCACCATTCAAGATGTTGGGGAGTCAACCATGAACAAAACCAAGTCCTTGTTATACAGAAAATAAAGCAGGGTTTAGGGCTAGGATGTGACCGGAATCATTATTTTAGATAACATGGTTGGACTGCTTCTTGTATAGTTTCTATAGCAGCACAACCAGTTTAAAAAAAGAGGCACACACATTTTAGCTAAATTATTTTTAAGGAAATGACTTCATATTTGCAACAGTTAGATGTTGTTGTAAAGTAGTGGTTCTTCAACTGTAGCATGTATCAGAATCAGCTATGCTGCTGCTGCACGCCAAGTCTCTTCAGTCCTGTCCGACTCTTTGCGACCCTATGGACTGTAGCCCACCAGGCTCCTCTGTCCTTGGGATTTCCAAGGCAAGAGCACTGGAGTAGGTTTCTATTCCCTTTTCCACAGAATCACCTACAGAGCTTATTAAAACCCAGCTTGCTGGGCCCTCCCCAGAGTTTCTGATTCAGTGAGTCTGGGTAAAGTCTGAGAATGTCAGTTTCTTACAAGTTGCTAGGTGATGTTGATGCTTGGATCTAGGGCCACCTTTGAGACCACTGTTGTAAAGAAATTTTTTAAAGGTCACTTTCAAAAAGATTAAAACAAACAAAAACCAGTTGACCTGATGGCATGCAAATAATTCTTGTGATTTATTTATTCATTTATTTTTAATTCTTGTGATTTAGGATTAAGTTTTTAATAGTGAAAATCTTATCTTACATTCAAAAAAGGGCTATATTTCAAAAAGTTGGAAGTGACAATAATGTACTTTGAAAAATAATGTTAAGTAACACAGAAGGTAGCTTCAGTGATGAACTGAATACCTTGAATAAAGGACTTGATGTTGAATATAGGCATGAAGAGTCTGAATAAAATTATTTATGAAATGTGTTAAAGAAGCTCAATTCAACTGACCCTTAAACATGGGCAGAGGGATCAGGACCCAGTCCTAATTCTTCTAATTAACTCAAAGTTCACGTAGAAGAATAATATGTAACACTTCCAGTTGAAGGATTATAATGTCATTAATTTATAACATTAACTAATTATATTTTTGTGGCTATATTTAACCTAAAGGAGAACTAGATAGTGCAATGATATTTAAAGAATTTAAAATTATTTGGAGTAATGATATGACCAATAAAGAATTAATATCCAATGTATATAAACAGCTTATATAATTCAACATCAAAAAAACAAGCAACCTGATTAAAAAATGGGTAGGAACGTGTTATGTTACTTCTATGGTAATAAAATAAGAAATCAGGAAGAAACGAATGAGCAGAAGAACTGAATATATTGTGCATTTTCCAAAGAGGAAATGGAGACAGCCAATATGAACATTAAAAGATGCTTAATATCACTAATCAACAGAGAAATGGAAATCAGAACCACAATGAGATATTACCTCACACCTCTCAGAATGGCTATTATCAAAAAGAACACAAATAACACATTTGGGAGGTTGTGGAGAAAAGAGAATCCTTGTATTCTGTTAGTGGGAATGTAGTATATGGAAACCCCTGGAGAAGGAAATGGCAACCCACTCTGGTATTCTTGCCTGGAGAATTCCTTGGACAGAGGAGCCTGGTGGGCTACAGTCCTTGGGGTCACAAAGAGTCAGACACAACTGAGTGACCCACACACTATGGAAACCAGTATGGAAGTTTCTTAGAAACTACAAATAGAACTACCATATGACCTGGCCCCTCTTGAATATGCTTCTAAAACCCCAAAACACTAACTCAAAAAGATATATGCACCCTAATTTTCATAGCAGCATTATTTACAATTGCCAAGACATGGAAACAACCTAAGTGTTGGATAAAGAAAATGTGAGAGTATGTATACCAATGGAATACTCAGTTGTGTCTGACTCTTTGCAACCCCATGGACTGTAGCCTGCCAGGCTCCTCTGTCCATGGAATTCTCCAGGCAAGAATACTGGAGTGGGTTGCCATTTCCTTCTCTAGGAGATCTTCCCAAACCAGGGACTGAACCCAGGTCTTCTGCATTACAGGCAGATTTTTTTACCATCTGAGCCACTAGGGAAGCCCCTAATGGAAGACTACTCAGCCATTAAAAAGAATAAAGTTTTGCCATCTGCAGCAGCAGATGGACTTGGAGGGCATTATGCTAAGTGAAACAGGTCAGACAGAGAAAGACAAATGTGCGATATCACTTACGTGTGGAATCTAAAAAACACAGCAAACTAGTGAATACAACAATAAAGAAGCAGACTCACAGATATAGAGACAAACTAGTAGGAGAGAGGGAATATAGAGGTGGGGGAGAGGGAGCTACACACTATTAGGTGCAAGACAGCCTCAAGGATTATACAACACTGAGAATAAAGTCAGTATTTTGTAATAATGGTAAATGGAAAGTAACTTTGAAAAATTGTATAAAAATAGTTGAAAAAACAAGAGACTAAATTTCAATAATAAAGATTCAAATGCATAAAAATAGTTCATGTGCAAGCCAAAATGTTCACTTAACAAAAGAAAATCAATCCACCTTGCAGTTCACACTGATTTTCACTGTTTAAAATTTAAAGCAACATGTGAAAATTCCAACTGGTCACTTAACATGACATAATTGAAATAAGTTACATTTCTTTGCTTGCTCACTGTGCCAGCATTGTTCAGTTTTAATCTCCTGTTTAAATGCAACAAAATGATATATCATAGGAATGAGTGACATGAACTCTGACTAACACAAGCTCACAGAACTTAAAACATGAGGACCTTTCTCTCTCAAAGACAAGTAGTTAAGCCCCTGTTTGTTGAGGACTGACTGTATAATGGGGGTTTTCCCAATTAACTATCAATGTTTATAAGAGAATAAGAAATAAAAGTGTGTTGATT